CTGGTTAAAGGGACGCTAAACTTGCCTTTTATATGCGCGTGGTGACGCTGAAAGGTCCGATCACAAAACCAATAGAAATACAGAAAAAACAGTTAAGCATTGTAACTATGTGGCTATCTAAGATCATTCTGAAATTACTGAACTAATCAATAATCAATCAAAAAATGAACCTTCTGGCTAATTTCCTTAACAGTAGTTTATGTTTTCTTTGTTTTAACCATTGTCTATTGCTTTCTAGTTCCATTCTCGAATTCTTTTTTGTTGCGTAGGATCAAAGTGGGCAATCCTGAGCAGGCAAGATAGGATAGATTTCGCTTCATATCGCCCACGGGCGCAGCCGGCCTTAAAACAAGTCTCCCAAACTCTAAGTGTGACTAGCTTAAAACGTCTCCACACTATCAACCCTGAATCAAAAATTAAAGTCAAGAGTATAGTGGAAATGATCATTATCTAAAGAAGTTATTTATTGTGTAACAAATTCTTTCGGTCAGCACCTTAGGAAATGTATGGAGAACAGTGTGGAGAATATTTATTCTGATGTTAGGGTGTAAAGGGTTAAAAAAAAGGTCTATTTGTTATCGTTTGGTTTCCTTTAGAGCACGATATTCCGGAAGAGGTAGTTTCCGGAAATGAGCGTCGGAGAAATTCTGACTCCAGCCTGGATTGCAAACCGCGGGAGGCTGACGAAACGGGTAAAAACCCGAAGGAATCCGAAGCACTACCGATAGACCAAGCCCAGCAACTTGATCCGGATAAAGTTGCATTTGTTCAGAGCTATCTGGATAGCGTGCACGACAACCATAGTATAACTACAGAGGCAAGTGACAGCGCGTTTGGAACCGGCACTGAATCTGAGCTCGGATCGGAAGACACTGGTGCAGGTAACTTAAATTGAAGAATTGTTAGGCTCTTTAGCGATCGTTTAGATCATAGCGTTTAATGATATTTACATTTAAGTGGGTCTTTTTTATTCCTTTGACATTGAGTGCAGCGAGGCATACCAAAACAAGCTGATGTAGAGATTTCCATGTAAGATCATGTCACCATATTTACAGCTAAAGGCAATAATTTAACTTCTGCGGAGTGCCTTATAAAAGTCTCAAATTATTTTTATTCTTCAATAGATCGTAGCTTCCATATTATTTCGTTTCTCTCGATTAGTTGTGATTGTTTTATCTCCTATAGACATCCTTGTTTATGCTGTATCTGCCTCTAATTAAAAAAAAGAGAAGGGTAACCCCTAATATTTATCACAGAATTGAAATAAGCAGATCAAGATTAAGAAATCTGTCTGCTAACTTTTGGAAAATCTCTAAAATGTCTACTTCGTAGTTCTTGTATTTTTGTGGCTACTGCTTCCTAAAGGAGACGAAGCCACCTATGTAGTCGAGATGAGTGAGTGAATGAGTGAGTGAGTGAGTGTGTGATGAATTCCGATCTTGACCCAGTTGTGACCTAATGTTTCCCAATGCTACTTATTGTTTGTTCCGGAGTATTTAAGTGGTTAGAAATTCGCAGTCGATACACAGTTGAGGTCTCTCCTTTTGTGACTTCCGGTTTATACCTGCTTATACATAATGTCATCCTTTTTCTTATTGTGAATGCTGTCTCCTGTATAATAGGAGGCGAAGCCACTATGTTACGGGGATGTGTTAGTGAGTGATGGTAATAGAATTCCGATCTTGACCCGAATTATACCCGATGTTTTCCGGTGCTTCTTATTGTTTTTCTTTTTTTTTTCGAAATATGTTATTAGGTCGACATTCACACTCGATACACATTTGAGTCCTCTCCTTTGGTGATTTCGGGCTTATCGCCACCAGCCACTAGCATATGTTTCAAAGTAGTGCTTGGAAGGGAGCATTTAAGGAGATGTTTAAAAATATCGTTCGACAACTTCCGTTTCCGGTGAATCACCGTAAGGGTGTTTCCAAGAGGCTGTGGTGTTGCTTTGGGGCAGAAAACGATTAGATGTTAAAGTAAAATACTCGGACCTCTTCTGACACTATTTTCAAGTTTGGTAGTATCGATCCATCAAAAAAATTGATGTTTGAAAATAACGAAACCATTTTGAGCCACTTTAAGCGGTTTGTACACCATTGAAAGAAAGATTTCTGTGAGTAGGAGCTGTTCCCTCATTGTTCTCCTGATTTGTGAAATCAAGTGAAATTATCGTTGGGGTTTCTCGTAAACTTGCCTCTAAGTCTGTGCAAAAATGCGAGGTGCGTTGAGGGGGTTAGTTGGAGAGGAATCACGTGGTGGCACTGTTTGTTGTCTCACTCTGAGTTCTTTGGTGACTTTCTGATTACTAGCGTATAATTTTTGATGTATGAAAAACACCTGTTGTGTTTTATCCTTTTTTAGATTCTAGATACAAAATGTGCTTCAAAGATCTTAGCAAGAATGTCACCATTGAATTGTCAAGAGCTCTTCAAGATGACCAAGTTGTAGGAAAGTTGGTTTACCAGGCTTTCGGCCTGAAAATGAACCTTGAAAATGATTACTTCAGCATGAATATATTTGAATTGTTTCCGGATACTCCTGTAAAGTTATTAAGGGACGTCTTTGAAGCATTGCAGTTGTACGATCTTGTCGAATTGTTGGAAAAAGCGAAACCGCGTTCACTTCGTTCAGCTCTTCCACTGGAAGAATTAAAGAGGTTGCGCAAAGAAGAAGATAAGCCCACCGTGTTCCATAGTCAGGCAGCGGTTTTGATTATCAAAAAAGGTGATGAGATAACCAGCATTGAAAATATCAAATCGTTTTTCAAGGAATTAAACTCGGAGAATGAGACTGATGTGGTGTGTTTGGAAAACGTACAAAAAATGGTGGATGTTGTCACTGAGCTGAAACAGAGAGAGTGTTTGGAGAAGCGATGGAATGATAAATTAAAGAAACTTGAAGCGGAAAAAGAGCAATTTGAAGTGATGATTAAGGAGAGAACACGGGCAGGTTCAAGGCGAAGAGAAGGTCTAGCCGAAAGGTTGGAAAGAATTTGGGATGCTGAGTATGCGCGCAAAGATTCAAAAGCGATAGCATCAGAGGAATCAAAGTTGCAACGAGAGAGAGAAGAAAAGCAAGAACTGGTGAAAGAAGAGATGGGAAAGGTAATGACTTCTTTATCATCGATCATGGACAAATGGATACACTGTCAAGGTAAGTCAACATTGCAAAACAGGAAAAAATTGTGGAGAAATAAGCTGCATCAAAATGTGGTCCAGTATTTTTACTGCGAATGATTTGAGGCTCAAGGGCAATAAATAATGGTAATTGAATTCAGCGGAGGGCAATTTGTCTTGATAATCACATGATTTCGAGTGCAATTTGGGATAATTTAGCGCACGTGAATTTTTCAAAGGCTAACTAAATTGCGCAAGTTCATAGGGCGATTGCAATTTGTTGTTTGTTATCCCAAATTGGACGAGAAATAAAATCATGTGATTATTGGTTACTTATATGAATGCAGGATTTGATTCTGTTTTCCTCGAGGCCTTGCTTATGGTTCACTGGTGTGGCCGCTTGACTTTGTGTTGTTGCAGCAGTCGTCGGGATTTTCCCACAAGAATTTCCTTCAAACTTTTAAACTTTCTGTTAGGAATAATCGAGTGTTTCCACAATTTTTAGGTTTGAATTCGTTTAATAGCAGTGACCAGTACAAAAGGCTATCGTGCTCGTAAGTTACACTTTGTAATCCCCGTTTTTCTCACGAACTATTGCGTAAACTCCGAATGAATTTTGTTCAGGGCCTATGGTTCGTAAGTTTCAATACTTTTGTTATAGCTTTCTTTTTGGAAGCCTAAAACTTCCCGACTTCCAACTTTGTGCTGTGTTGGGTGTTTCTGTTCTGAATAGGTTGATAAACCTTGTCCACAGGCTGAGATGTCTATTGTCTTCATATTGTCACCATTCATGTTTCTTAATCATAAAATTTTCTGTCGTAGTAGAGTGTGTGGAGATGTGGCTGAGCGGATTGGTTAGTAGCCCGGAAAGCGAGAGGCTGTGAGTTTAAATCCGACAGTACACAGCATCGGACATGTTTATATATTAAAAGAATGTAGGAAAAGATAGCGTTTATCTTTCCGATACTTGTGTTTATAGTATCATCTGGAGTAAATTAATCATTCGAGAATTCGTCCAGTATGTCGATCGATTTCGAACTCCAAAAAATGCCAGCCTTTGTCGAGCTTTAAGTTATCACTAGTCCCTGGTGGGATTGCAAAGGAAAAACGATGACGACTTCCTTTACAATCGAATCGAGGAGGAAGAACCTTGAAGTCATCTCCTAACAATCGTAGTTTAAATGCGACTTGCATGTTTCCTGGAGTTACGTTTAGGTCAATCACTGAGTGGGCGCTACTTCCATTGAACAGCGTTGAATTGGTTTAACAATGAGAACGTCAAGCTAAAAGTCATGCGCTATCGACCGTGTAGAAACATCCACGAATAAGAAAGATTGCCTCCGAAATAAATCACTTCGTGGATAACCCTTTTTCGACTGCCAACTCTCTACGTAGTCTTCAGCGAATTTAGAAAAAGTTAACAAGAGGTGAAGGAAAGAGTGAATGTTCCATCCAAACGTATACCTCAGATTAATGATCACGTCATTTACTGAGTAAAAATGGTGCGATTTGTGAATGTGAGCCAATCAGATTGCCAGGATCACCCGGGATTTTAAAGTGGATGTAAGACGGGATTAATGTTACGCGTGTTATCAAAGTTCTCACAAAATTTGCTCGAGACACAAGGCCACCAGGGCAATTTATAAAACTTTGAAAGTAAAAGCAACGTCGGATAACGCGCGATCCCGCTCATTACCGGGATGAGTCAACTGAATCAACCAATCGACTCAATAACATTTTTCTTCAAAATACAACAAAAAGATTTTCTACTTCCTTTGGTGAAAAATTTGCGAGATCAGGCAATAAACAAAAATATTTCAAAATTGTATGCCTTTACCTAAGTATATTTTAGCGTTGCTATGGGATAAAGTAGTCGAAACTCAAATAATTTTTAACTCAGAAGTTTCAAACTCATTTGGAGTAAACTTCTATCATTTTTACTTGTAAAGGACCCTTAAAGAACGGATAACGCGCTTGCAAAGAATAGGCAGTTATTGTTTGTTTCTTTCAATTCTTTAGAATGGAGGGACGTCACTTGATCATGTAATAATTAACAATTATTCCACGAGCGCGCGTTGGATATGAGATGATAGATAGCCAACGAGGCGCGTAGCGCCGAGTTGGCTATAATCATCTCATATCCAACAAGCGTGAGTGGAATAATTGTTTTATTAAAAACTCCCCCAAGAAATTATTATTTTGTAAGAAAAAACAGGATTTTTAGCTCCCTTTTGATCTTAAGCTGACGCGTACGCTTGCCATATTTGTAGATTATGGTATATTGGCTCATATACCATAATGGCTAAGCCAATAAAAAGTCTTGAATTGCATTATCCAATGATCCAGTTCTTAATAATAGTTGTTAGCTACTCATCAGACACTGCTATCATTCATAATATTAAACTAGAGTAATTGCAGTTTTTAAAAATGCGTGGTAGCATCACTCCCCTTGAGTGGTACCGAAAAGTCGTTTTTGGAGGTGCTATTAAAGAATACTCCAATTTGTATTGAGAAAACACGAACTTTGTGGCCAGAATTGGCCAAGGGATTGTGACCTGATAATCTCTGCGGAAAGTCTCTTAAGTTTACAAACCTAGGAAGCGTTTTAGTATTTCCGGAGCTTTTTTTTAGCCAAATTAAGGTCAGTTGTAGAGTTTTTACCCGTGCAATATATTCCCATCGTAAAGGCTTGAGTTAAAATTCTTTAATAACATAAGACCACACTACTGGTTCAAACGCTGTTCAGGTATTTTTGGTTTTTTTTTTCTACTCACGGTATTGTCAGGACTGTCAATTTGAGAAATACATGTTTGCAACAGCCAAGCCGTTATTATTAGACATAGTAAGACTAAATATAACCTCACTGGTATTTATTTTGCTTGTTTTTGTTTGTTTTGTTTTTTAGATAAATTCACTATTTTTGTCATATTGGAAGGTAGTGATCTGCATGAGTTCCCTGACATAAGCAAAATGATCGAAAACATTTTGGTAGAGAAGCTAGAATCAATTCCAGATAAAACGAAATTTGTGGCTGGGTCTGCCAGATGGAGTCGAATCGAACAACTTCCAGAAGTTCTCTTTGCAAGATATTCAGCTCCAAGCGGAACTTTTGTTACCCAGATGGATGAAACTATAACCAAGCGTTGGCATACATTGGACCTGATGTCGATGTTAGAAGAAATGAAAAGAGATTTAGCGAGGAGAAAATCTCCTTTAGTTCATTATGATTCTGAGGATATTAATTTGTGGCCCTCACGGGTGCGAATAATAGCCAAATTGTCTTCACTTCCACGATTTCTCAAAAAGATTGAAGATGCCGCCAAATAAGTCTGTTTCAGAACTCTCAAGGAGCTTTTTTGTTTTTTTTGTCTTTGGTTAAATAAGACATTTTTTGGACTCAAATGATGATGGACTCGAATTCAAAAGTTGTTAAAAAATTATAAAATTAAACGAGACTTACCTGAAAGTTGAAGTTTGATTGGGATTCTACCAGTCATCACTGAGCAGAGATTACACGAGATCACTACGCATGCGCACAACTAGTCATTTTTTAAAAGTACTGTGAGTGGCCACATGAGGATCTACATGCAACAATGACAAAGGTGCACTCCACAGTGCAGGGAGGATTCAGGTACCATGAAGGGTGGGCGTGTAATCTCTGCTCTGTGATAGATCGTTAACGATAACAGATAATTTGTCGTCTGTTCCTAAACTCTGCATAAAGCTAGGGCATGATTCTGCTTCTTAAGCCTGTTGTGGTGAGTTGTTTGGTAATCTCATAGTGTTCATAAAAATATCAAATTACATGTTGATATGTAGCTCCTTGGTTGCTCGTGGTGCAATGATATAATTATATTTGTGAGACTCATATCTTGGAAATGAATTTTAGTATCTGGAGCAGCCGCCAGGCCTCGTTAGATTCGAAAAGATTTATCCCGTAGAACACGAAAATATCATGTATGAGCAATGTAGTTTTAGTGTTTCGTTTTTTCTTTAGTGTTTGGTTTTTCCTTAAATTTTTGCCAAGGAACTGTAGGTATTTTACACACTTTATTCAATAAATAAATGCTTGAGTATGTTTTGAGTAACGGAAATTTGAATTGACCGCAAGTACTTTAAACCTTCGCAGATTGTATAGAATGAATCATGCGGCGAATATAATTTCATTTTACGAGCACTTGACACAAATTCTGCAACGGGTTTAAGTGTTACGAACATCCAAACCTCGGTACCTCAAATGTGTAAAGGGTTTCACAAGCGAGTATCCGTTCTTTGATCTTACATCGAGATCTAATGACGACGTTCCAGAGTCTGATGTACGGAATAAGGTCTTTAGTTCAGGAGTCTCCCTCTAGGTTGAACTGTATTCGCAAACGTCACCTGGCAATCCACCTTGTTAGAGATAGGTAGACTGCTTAGAGATAGAATCCAGGTGTTAGAGATAGGTAGACTGCTTAGTTTTAGTAAGCAGATATTAGATTACTTATTTGTTTAGCTTATGTATGTTGTCCTTGATAGTGACAGGATGATGGTCATTATTTGGGAAAATTCACCGCCCGAGTCGTCAATTTTGCGTTAAATTGTACGCAGACACCGGTAACGGTTTTCAAGTGCAATATGACGCGGCAGGTAAAGGATTTTCCTTGAATCACATAACTGAGTAAAAATGAGAAAAAATGATAACAGCAATAACGTTGGGGAAAGATGTTTTTCGTCTTGTCACGAGCGTGGGGCAAAGAAAAAAAATCTTATTCCCTACGAGGAATCAAACCTCAATAAGAATAGCTGTTTGATTTTATTCTGAGCGCGAAACAAGAGGTGTAAAACAATATCATTTAGCTTCGTTTTCAACTTGCAATTCCGCGCTGAATACCTCGCTTCGTTAACCAACCAGAATGCGAGATTTTATTCAATTATGCGATTCTAGTCTATATCTGAGAATATTTAGACGTCGTTGTATCGCCTGTAGTTTATATCTGTCTATGTATGTAGATATGCATGTTTCAATTTTGTTCTATGGTATTTCACGAGTCTCACTCTCATGAGTATAATAAAATGGCTTGGAGAAACGTCATTGTGGAAAAGAATAGATTTTATTGAGTGGCGAGTATTAAAGGGTAAATTGAGATTGTACAATTCAGCCTCAAGAAAGAGCAACTTGATCATTTGCAGTTAATTCTGTGCCTGCAAAATCAACTACTTACTTTCCTCGAAACCCTAACTCATAATTGAAATCGTTTCAGATTTGTTTCTTTGCATCAATGTGTTAATTACGCCTCGAAGGCTTAAATGTCCCCTAAAACGCGCTTTGTAATAGTAGTTTAGTACGCCATCTTGCCTTGCCAAGGCAACAGCGTCTTTCGAACGTACCAGATGTGCTTATAACATAGTCTTTAACTTGAAAACAGTGTCTTATTGTTTGAGTCAGCGGTAAAGTAAAGCGGAACGACCTTTGACATATCGCAAAACTTAGTGCATTTGAACACTAAGGGGATTCAGCACTGGTGGTTGGCTTGTTCGATGGTGCCCAAAATGAGAAAGGTGAAGGATTGCCTCTAGAACACACGACAAATGTTTCTTCTCTCTGGAGATGACAGAGATATTTGGTGCGCCCATAGAGAGACGTAATAATACCGCGCTTTAGTTATTGTGGGCGGTGTGAATCATTGTGTGTTGGCTTCCCATTTCCCTCAGCTTCTCTCTAATTAACCAACCTCTCTAACTATTCCCCATCCCCAGAGGGGCCTCCCAGAGTGTTCACGCTAAATGCATTGCCAGTTAAATCAGTTGATTTCAGGCGATTAAAGATTAAAGCCGTGTAAGTGGTCATATTTTTCGATATCTTTTAATTTAATATAAATACGCGCTTATTGATATGTCGGAATTTAATGATCAGTGTCAGCTCATTGAAATTTCCTGAAATCATGATGGATAAGAACAGTTTAGTAAAGAATGTACAGTGTATGTTACCCTGAAACCGGCTCTGTGTTTTTTCTGCGTCACGTAGAAATAACCCTTAAAAAGCATGTTACAGTTAACTGTTACTTGGCTATACCTAAATATGGATATATCAACAAAGTTGAAATGGTAAATTGACTCACCTATATATGCCTCATATTTCGGTGATCTTGACTTAAATGAAGTGCAAGTATTGTGCGAATTCACTTTCGGTTGTTTTACTTCAACAGCGTTAAATCATATCACTATTTAAAAAGGTGAAAGTAATTCGAAACAAAGTACGAATAAAACCTTGGCGGAACGCAATCTTGCATGTTTTGATTCTAAATGAATGAATGAATGAACAAGAGATCGAAAAAACGAACGAACGCTTTAACGAAGGAAAGAAAGAGCGAAGGAACGAAAGAGAAAGATCGTATTGACTATCAATTAACAAACGAACGAACGAACGACCGAAAAGATTCCGAATGAATAAATGTACGAAGAAGAGAACGAAAAACGAACGAAAGAAAGCTCTAGCGAAAGAAAGAAAGAACGAAGAACCAATGAACGAAAGAAAAAAATTCAATAACCACCAACTGACAAACAAATAAACGAACAAATGTACCCACGAACGAAAGAACTCACGAACGAACTAGCGAAAGAACGGAAAATCAAAGAACAAACGAACGAATGAAGAAAGGGAGGAATGAATTAATACTTTATTATCACTCTCTTCTCAGTTTTTTTCACATAATTATCGCACATTTATTGGATGAATTTGTTGGAAGATGTTGTTAGCAATGAAAAAACAATATATCACCTCAGTCATTCGACTGAAACACGCAAGAGATTTTGCAGACTGAGAACCACTCTTAGCACGTTGAAGTTTAAAATTTTATGCCATCGCACGAATTGAAAGGAACGGTAGACAAAAATTAATGGTAGCTTTACTAATGTTCTTAATGTAAACTTCTTTCTAAAACAACTTTGAATGAATGAGAAGACGCCCGGCTTAAAAGGTCAGAAAGCTTATACTTTTTTCCGGTGACATCTCGTCTACTAATTGCTGACAAGTCACCTGCTCCAGGAGAGAAATAACAAAACGGAACTTTGTCATTGTCAGTTCAATTCGTTTTAACTGAAGGGAAAACATCCAGAATCTTTTGCTCTTTGAAATTAAAAAAAATAACCTTTCATCTCGAAACATAAGTTCTTCTCTTTTTTTCCTGGGAAATAGCGAATTTAAAAAACACACAAATAGAGATTGTTTTCCTTTTTCCGGCGGCTTGTCGAAAATACATCAAAGTGTTTTAAAACTGCGTACGATTGTGTCAAATGGCAAAAATTATTTTGGCACTCGGCAGAATGCCAATCAGGTCACATGTTAAGTGATCTCATTTTGATATTTTCTTTGCCTTTAAAGTCTGACCAGAACGCGTTCGAGTCCTTCCTCTACGTTTACAGTCAAACACGGAATAATCTTTTCAAGTGCGTCATTAGCTGTTTGTATGGCGACAACTGAAAAACGTGCAATTCCGATCATTTCCGGTCAGTTTTTAACTGTAAAATCAACTCAGGACTTTCCTTCAAAGCTTAACTCGTAAAAACCTTGTCAGATTTGTTTTATAACATCCAAGTGTTCATTACGTCTTGAATGCTTAAATGTTCCCTGAAACACGAAAGGGCTAAATCATTTACAACAATAGTTCGTTCAATTTCTTCACAAATGGCCATTCTTCGCTCAGGATGAGTCTTTCGATAGTGGTGGAAAAAATGATGATCTAGAGTCTCGTAAAAACGCCCTCGGACACGTTCATTCGTTTCTTCTTCAGGGCTTGTTTGTTCGGTCACGGCGCACTTTGAAAGCTTCTTGTTATCGTTGATGTACGACCCGTTCGTTTTCCTTTCAACTTCAAACATCGCTATGTAAGATGTTATATCGCTATCTCCGGTTTTGTTGACATCAATCCGTTTCCCAGTAAAATCCCTCAGTTCGATGACATTGTCCCTTTCTGTACAAGCACGAAGTTGATCCATATTTTGATCGAATGTTAGCAGTTCGTCGTGCAGTATTTGGTTACAACTTCCTTGATAGGCACGCTCTGGTCTTAGCCGCCTTCGAAGCAAATGTATGGGTCTTTTTAAAGAGTTATCACTTCCAGGGGTGCCTTTTACCATCCTACCCTTTACAGAATGGTTATCGAAGTGATTGTCTTCAACAGTAGATGCCTTGGAGCTAGCGTAGGTCTCTTAGTTCCTGGTCACCTCTTTAGAATCCTTCTTTCTTTCAATCGAAGAAGTTGTGTGGTGTCTAGTGGCTCGGCCCACAGTTCGATATTTTGCGTCCACGCTTGCGGCCTCGTAAGACATGAAAGTTTGTTGCCCACGGAGAGATGACACGGGGTTGCTTTGCCCAGTAAAGGGCCTTCCAATTTGCGGAAGCCGTAAAAAGCCCAAAGGAGACTTGCTGTCTGTGCTTTCATTAGAAACCGGGTCTCGAGTGTTGTCGAAGTTATTGGTAATCCTTGGTAATCGGGTTTGATTCTTTAGTGCCTTGCCTGTTGAATTTCTGTACGCCATTCTCAAACGTTGCTCGCCAGTGAGGTGTTACGTTATCAGAATTTTTACCTCAAAGGGCTGCACGATTCTCCCTACCTTATTCTGACTAAGACCACGCCATCTTTCAAAACCGTGCGCTAAAAAAAAAAAAAACCAAAAAGCACTAAAACATGAAAAGATATGCAACGAAACGCACAAACACGAGAGAACGGAGGTGGCCTAATAAGACACATGGAAATTAATCGCTTTTAAGATAAAAACAAAAACACGTGCGCTGTCGAAAACAAGACGCGTCGGCACAAACTCCCTGTTTTCATTAGTCGTCTATTCTCCACTTCTTCCGTTCGCGGTGTCATCCTTTTATCTGGAAATTTGCCCGAGGCAAAACTAGTAGCAACTTGCCAGTGTAGGTAAACCAATCGCAAGAGTTCATGGAAAAGATACATTTACTTGGCAGAACCTCACGCTTTTGCTAGCAAAAAAGGATGGTTCATTTACACTACAACCTTTTTTTTTACCGAGCGGTTAACAATGTTAGAAGTTTAATGTTACCGCTATTCAAATTATTAGGTTTTCTCGATTCAAAATTTGCTCCTAACTGAAACCTTATTTCGGAGAAATTCAATATATGTTTTTAGTTAATAGCTTAAAAAACACAAAAACATTAAAGGGGGTCTTTCCTATTTATCGCTGAACTTAACGTCTGCTTGCCTCACAATTTGGTCTCAGCCGTAAATTCAGAAAATAAATGGTTTAAATAAAAATATTACATAACACTTATTTGGACAAGTTATTCGTTATTTATTTGTTCAAGAGAACTGTTCGAACATTTTCCATAGCATAAATTGGCAGTTTGGGCAGATGGTGTTGCAATCTGCTGCAACTGTCCATTTTTAGTAACAAACCAATACTTTTTTTGTAGCCGCAGGCAACTGCTTAATCTCTGGATATCCGTCGCTGCAGTCTCTGTCATGCGACGGTGTTTTGATTGGCTGATCACTGTCAATTTTCCCATTAACTTCGGAATGTATTTTTTGTCATTTTGTGTATCCGAGCTTTATGCAATTTGTTGTAATACGTTTTTGACATTTCAATTCCGTCGTTAATCCATTCATTAATCATTGATGGATCGATTGCCTTTTTGTAAAGGGTTTTGTTTTAAACACATAGACTGCAGGTTCTTTCCCAGAGCCCTTATTCGTATGTCGGCCACACCCGGCGTCCAGGCGAAGGTTCAGCGGTTTGAAAGCTATACAGCCTTTGAGTTTAAATCTTCATTAATTTAATTCCCGCCTTTTTGTCAGGTTTTTTTCGTTTTGTTTTGTTTCTTTGTGCTTTTGTTGTCTTCAAGTGTGGTCAAGTAATTTTGTTTATCTGCAGTTATAATTTTAAGAATTGGTTCCAAAATCATCCGATCGCGTATGTTATTTGATATCAGAGGCTAAAATGATCATTAAAATTTACCTTCGCTACAATGATTAAATGTATCTCATTATTTTTCTCACCAGTCAATGAGAAAGTTGTCGAGAAATTTGTCTCGGCAGGCGAAGC